CAGAATGCGGTTAGACTGGGCGGTAGTTGTCTCGAGGGGGGCGTGGAACGCCCACTCCCAGAATGCGCGTCTGTGGGTCATCCAGAACCGCCAGTGGGCCCGATGAATGTCCTGATTCTCGGCTGGATCGTACCACAGAGGTCGACCTGATCAGGGGTACGCCAGGCGCCAAGGGACCTTGCCGGCTTCTTCAGCCTTGTGGAGGGCAATGGCAATCGCGGTTCGCACGACCCGAGGGGCGTTGGGATTCACGTCGAGCAGCTTGGCGTAGTCGTAGCAAGGAAGCGTCAGCTTCTGGGAAGAGCGCGGTTTCTTGGCGGACGACTTAGTAACAGTGTCGCCGGCGCTGGCCTTCCGTTTGGAGGACTTCTTGGAAGACGTGGCGGGTTTCTTGCCCGAAGACTTGCTGGAAGGAACGGACTGAGTTGAAGATCTTGGAACGCCGGACGCGGCTGGCGGAGTCACGACCGGGGGTGCGGCGCTTGGAACGCCGGGCACGGCCGGCAAGATCACGACCGGACCTTGGAGGCTGACATTCGACTTGCCTTTAAAGATGTCGTCAACGAGTTGGTCGAGATGGGGGAGGCCCGTAGACATGCCGTTGACCCCGAGATGCGCGCGTATCTTGCCCCAGAGTTGCCGCCTGAGAGCATCCTTGTCGTCAGAGGAAGGGCCGTGCTCTTCGCGGTCAAGAGCCGCGTCCAGGAAGGCGCGGAACCGCTTCAGCTCTGCGGCGGTGAACTTGGACGTCATGGCAGTTGCGTAAGTCGAAGGAAATTCGAGGACTGAAGGATCTCATGCTGGGGAAAGTTGATGGCTGCCGGAAGGTGCGCCAGCGGTACGCCACCTGCGAAGGGACGTTGAACTGGAACGCAATGACGGGAACTGACCCCGAGCGAGAGGGCGCCGGGTGGGACACCTGCACTGGCTGTGGACGACGGTTGGAGGTCCACTAAGGGAATTGGACAGCGATGGAGAAGTGGCCAGCATGGGCCGAGGCTGCCGAGCTGAGGGAGGTGGCCGGGGCGACTAACTACTGGGTGCTCACGATGAGCGCAATCGCTGGCATCGTGATGTGGGTGGTGACCACTCCATTGAGGAACGTCTCGTGGGCGTTCCTAGATAACGTCGTCGACAACGGTCGGGCTGTCTACTTCTTCGTGTACACCTGTGGTGATAGGTACCTTGACGCCGCGCGGAACGCTAACGCCTTGTCACTCCCTCCGCTGGAGTATGCGTGTGCTCTGATCTCGTTGGCGTTCCTGATTCCTATTGCTGTGCTGCAAGATTACGAGGTACAATTTGGGATAACGGGACGGCTGTGCTTGAGGTGGTGTGAGGCGTTCCACCACTCTTGCTGTTTGTTCGTACCTGACGCAGTACAACTACTCTGGATGTCTACTTGCAAGTACGCCCGAGCTACAGGGGAAGCTACGGTGGCAGTGATCGAGAGGACTGGCGATTTCTTGATGGGTATCTACTTAGCTGTCTCGTTGATGTTATCCCTGTTGGTGTACTTGCCTCGACTGGTGTATGAGAGCGTAGAAGGCATACTAGGAGGACCGCTTGCATTGTCTTGGTAGTGTTTATGGTGGATGTCTATTTCGAGTTCGTGTGGGAGAGCTGTTACTGGAGTGTCACGGTGCAGGTGGTTGGCTGTTACAGCCATGGGCTGCGTTATTACTGGACGTGTCGCCCCAGTAGGAGGACCGGGCTGGGGTCTAATGTAAAAAAAGGGTGGACTGGACTCGCTGGACGCATAGGACAACGTGAGGAGAGAGAACGCGCTAGCTTGGAGCGTCTACGTGGAACGCCTAAGAAAGGAACGCCGAAGGAGGTTCAAGATGGAGACGCAAAGCCTTATGGAACGCCGACGGGTGGCGTTCCAGAAGTGGTTGCTGGTGAGACCGTGCGACCGGCAGTGGAGGGAACAACGCGTCGAGGACGCTGAGGGTCGGTCGGGGAGAATTGTCACGGTCTACAGCTAGAGGGAGGTCTCGCCATTTTCGCGGACTGCATCCAGAAGGTCTGCTTGAAACAGGGTCAACGGGCTACATCCAGCAAGACAGGACAAGAGGAGCAGACGTCGGCGTTCCACGTCTAGAGTGGGACCTGGATGCAGGGAATGAGGAGGTACCTCGCGGTGGACCGCTGCATGAAAAAGGTTCAAGGACAGGTAAGGAGTCTCTAGGCCGTAAGTAGAGGCTCAGTCGTGTTTTTCCTTCTTAAGAGAGAAGTACTCGGAATACATTAAGTTACTTTAAGAATTATCGCTCTAAGTTCTCGTTCCTACGTCGGCCAGCTAGATATACGTCCCCGACACTAAGGAGGAAGACCGCGACAAGTTTTCTTGCCCCGCGTGATCAGAAAGTCCACCACTCCGTTCGACCTGACGTAGTTCACGGTCAACGTCGCCTGCACCTGCAGTCGTACTCACTGCTCATCAGTTTTAAACATGCGCACCACGCTTTCGAAGAGCGCGCTCATAAACTGGATGCGGGTGGCTTCGTTGCTAGTCGGATCCTGGTACACACAGTTCTTATTTTCAATCGCTTTAAGAAGATTGTCCAACATATTGTCCGTGAGGGCGTTAGGCTCGTTCATGAGATCGTAGAAGACGCCGGACTTGACCGAGCCTTCGTCCGTACGGAACTGCTTCGGCAGCTGTCCGTACTCCATGGCCGAGAACGCCGTGCTCCCGTCCTTGCCACGCTTTGACTCAGTTCATCCCAGTCGCGCTTACGCTTGGCTGGATCTTTCCGATACGTTCGGTCTCTTCTTCGGCTTTTTCAGCTTCACGCCGCTCGTCCTCCGCCTCACGCTGTTCGATCTTTATTTGATGGCGTATTTGGTTGATCATCCGGGTCTTGCGGACTTCCGTCAACCCCAGTTCATCACGCATCTTGGCCTCGACATCTTGCGGAAGCCGGACCAGCACGTGGACGCATTCGTCCCCCAGTTGCAGTTGGTAGCTTCCAATAACAATGGGGGCCAAAATATCGACTGCATAGGCGATCGTTTGAAGGAGGCAGCATGTACAACATCCCAGCGCTTGATACGAATTGCCACCTTTGTCGCTTGTATAACGCTTGCGATGCGATCCGCGACCATGAACATCTTCTTCACCAAGTTCCACTCGCCGTTCTCAGCTGCTTGTATCAACGTCGTGTTCACGTTATACGTTACGGCCTTATCATTTAAGCGGCGATGCGTTGCCGAAAATCCCAGCTGCAGCTTCTTAGCACGCCTCAGATCCAATACCACTTTGTCCGCGAACACGGGCTCCGCGGCCTCGCAGATATTTGCAGCGGTATCCAGCTCGCCTGCTTTAGCTGCAAGCAGCAAGGCTCGACCGACTGCGAACCTGTTGCATCGGTCGGATCGCACTAGCCGACACACCGCGGCCCACTCGCTCGCCTCTGCTGCCAACTCAAGCGCAACACTCATGCAGTGCGGGTGGCACTCACTTTTTGTGGCCAGCCGGGTGATCGGACCGCGTTCCGTATGAAACAATCCTGGTGGCGTCGTTTTTACATATTTCTGGATAGCAGACTTGCAGCAGTGATGGTATAGTACGCGTAATGCCCTGTGGTTTCCGTGCTTGACCGCCAACAGCCCCGCTTCGTTCAAAGTCTCGGGCTTGAACAAATGAGTACGTGGGCCGGTGCACAACGCGCAAACAACGTCCCATCATAATTGCCGGACGGCTTCCACCAACACAACTTCAGAGTTACTTCCCAGTATCATGGCATTGTTCCTCAATCGAGCAAGTATCAACAACACGACGTCCCAGCGGGCTTCCTCCACCGCGAACAAGATCGCGCTCTCCAGCCGCAGTGGCGAGCACCGGTGGATGAGCAGTTTCCCCAGGTCCCATTTACCGCAGTCGATCGCGACGTCAAGGGCGCCATCCATATCTATCAACGCCATGTCGCCTCTTTGGCTGTTGATTTTGTCCGCGATCATGATCACCAAGTTTGTGGACCCGGCCCATATAGCTTGCTTCAGCGTTGCCGGAAGAAAATAAGGATCGGCGTTGTCCACGAGCGATCGAAACCCTTCCCAAAGAAGTCCGGCAATTTTCTCGCTTCCGTTCACGGCGATGGCGACTTTCAGCGCTTCGTGCGTATATTGAGAGGCGTTTTCAGCTAACAGCGGGACCACGTTCCATCGTTCGTTGTACACGGCATTCTTCAGCTCCTCTTCGATCTCGAACGGGAGGGCATGCTGGACGAGCACTTGAACTATTTCGGCGTGCTGGTGAAACACGGCCCAATGTAGTGCGTCGTTGCGCGTACGGTTGCTGCACTTCTTGACCAGCATCGCCACAACCTCGCAGCTCCCCATCTCGACGGCCGTGTGCATCGAACGATCCGGGTCCCAGACCTCCAAACCATACTTGGTGTGCAGCCAGCGCATCAGACGCATGTTCTTGGTATCCTCGGCAAAACGTATACAAACGTCGGCGCACGGCAGGTACGAAAACCGTTTACGCACGCGGTTCAACTGACGGAAGATTGCGGCGTCGAGTGTTCTTGGGAGCAGATACGCGTTGATCAAGGCCGCCACGTGCTTCATCCCCGTCACGGGTAGCGCGCGTTGAACGCAGTCCACACTGCAGAGCAGACGTTGGGGTGACATTCTTGTTATTCTTCGCGTTTATTGGAAATTCGAAAGTGATCAACAAATGTTTCATCCGACATGGTTTGTAATGGCAAAAAAGATTGTTTTGTATAAAAGGAAGAAGGGAATGACGCAAGCTGAGCTAGTTCGAGAGCTGGAAAGTCCAGCCAATCTGATCAAACTCATTAATCTCATTTGCGCGAAGTATGGCCTCGACTCAAAGAAGCATACCAATCTAACCAACATCAAGGCGTTCTTGGGGCCGTTGCAAGTAGACTCTATTGCGAATCAGGTGTCGTCAATCGATGCTGCTAACGCCCTCATAGTTGATCTCTATGATAAAAAACGGTCGGACCCTCGACTCCGCGCCAGTCTCCCGGAAGATTTAGACCGCACGAAGCAGTATTTGTTGAAACTCATAAAAACGCCTGGAGAAGACAAAGAGGCGCTGACGCCGTAAGAAACTCAACTACCACCGTCGCAACAACGACTGTTGCAACCGCCTCCTCATCGATGTCGTCGATACTTAACCTATCTGCGACGGAGCGTTATAAAACGATCCGCTACTTGAACTACGCTTCGCTGTTCCGCGACGAGTACGTTCTCATTGACACACGTTACCAGAACAAGATCAATGCGGATCCAACAAAGACGATTTTCTCTCTGATCAGCGATACGAAGACGAAGAGCGACCACGGTGGGATCATCGTGGGTAATCGCATTCAAAACATTGTGGAGGTCGAAGTGTACTCATTCACGATCTCGTACAAACCCGTCTACTTGACGTTCTACAATAAGATCACGCTTTCGATCAACGAATGGGTGTCGAATTCGTTTGAAGCGTACGAAGGCGGGCAGTTTCACTTTTGCTTTGACATCGACCAAATCGACAACAATCTTATCTACCTCAAGCCAGTAAACCCCACGTACTCGTTTTCCAAGCCCGTCAACTACATTGACTCGTTCTCATTGAGCTTTGGAGCTGTTTTTCCAAAGATTGCGTTCGATTCCGATCGTATGGTTCCGCGTAACTTCAGTTACTTGAATTCGTACGGGCTGGTAACCTTCGATTCTGACCACGGACTTGTCACAGGCGATCTAGTATACATCATCGGCTTTGAAACTCCTGATATGGCACGGGATAGTGTAATTATTAACGAAGTGAATCGGTTAGAGGGACACACGATCGTCAAGAAGAATAACTCCTCGTTCATCATCAATATCGACCTGACAGCACTTCGCCACGAAGAGCCGCCGAACAGTGGTTACTACCCAATTGACACGTTCAAACAGTCAAACGTGGTTGTTTTCTTTGCGTCCAAACGGGTTCAGATCCAGATGCGACTACGCTACCTAACGTCGTACAACACGTAATGATCAACGTTTTGTTCGTCCTCTTCACTTTTTTTTCGGCGATCGGCATCTTTTTAACGCACCATGCTGCTACCCGACGATCTTATTCGACACATTGTCCAGTTCATCCCTGTCAGCATACAAGTACAACTATATCCGTCGTTGCGAGGGCAGATCGAGCAAGAACAAGCGTCGGTGATCAAACGATTCATTCAAACGCATCGCGCGCGCATCATGCGTATCATGGAGAAGGAAACGGGATCGACAAAAGTGTATCGCACAGCGCCGTGTTTGTTTCGGGATTACATCGTCACTGATAAAGACTTTGACGCATTTTTCAAGCTCAAGCGCGTTCCAATCGAAGTATCTTGGACCATCGACATAGGTCGCGTGCTTGGATGGCCGCCGAAGAAGATTTATCGACTGGTGATGAAACATCTTTCTGCAAGCGATTGCGCTGAGTTGGGATGGTAAGAAAAAAAAGACTAGCTATACCCGTGGTGTTGTTTTGGGGGCATGCGTAGCTTTACACATCATCTAATTAAGTAGAGTGGCCGAACACATGGTGGGATATAAGAGTGAAAAGGAAATCCGAAGCCATATATTTTCCGCATAAAATGTGAATGCGCTCAACATGGTACCCGCTGAGCTCTTGAAAAGTATGTCAACTGCATGATTGAGAATGACTTCGCTGTATACTTACGTCAAGATACTTCAAATTTTTTTCCAAATTTTGCAAAGCGCGATAGCATGGTCGTTTCGAAACAAAAATGAAAAAATATATTTCGTTGAAATGCACTCGAACAACGGCAATACCACGAACAATGGCAGTGAGATAGACAAATGGTGTAGTCAGTACAAGTTTGTTTGCCGAAAGAACGAGGGACTTGTTGCCGAAGTGCGTGAACTGAAACGGCGACTAGCGAGAGCTCTCGGCAAAGACGTGAACCCCGAGACCGATCCCAACCGCTTGTTTTGTGACGCATTGAAGCAGAACCACAAGCGATGCAGCAAATTGGCAACGTTGGGTCGATTATGCGACAAACACGCCGAAAAGCTTCACAAGGGGAGATCACCGCCGATGCGATCCAAACAAGAGAGGTACTGCGACTGCAAACTTTGCCCGAAATATGTTTGCTACGCGAAACCGTGAAACAAGGCGGACATGCTGTGAGAGGGTTTTTTTGTGATCACTGCAACATGAGTATTATATTCCACGAAAATGGTTTACCCTCCGCCGTCTCGAAATATTAGCATCCCCGCGGTGGTCGCAGGAAACATTTTGCAAAACGATGATACATCGATCACCGCGTCCGACAATGGCTACGATGGGGCCATCATCATGCGTACCCAGAACAAGCTGGCGATGCTCATCAGCCCCCAACAGCGCGCTTCCGTCAACACGGAGTCTTCCTTTGCGATGGTCACGGTCAACAGCGATGATACCTCTGTGCCGCCGCTGCGACTAAGTTACCTGGATAGCTTCTACTTCGACACAGCGTTCGACGCTGCCACGGGGAACGTGATTTTCACTCCGAGCTGCGATTACCCGATCCGCAACCGCTCGCTAGCTTCGGTGTTTACGAAGAACTTCAATGTGATGAACCATGACGGATCGAGCGTGGGGTTACACCTCGGCGGGCGCGTTGTGACGGCTTCGGCCACCGTGCTCAACTACGTGGACGTTCCCGTGGGTATCGCTGCGCGACGCAAGGCACTTGTGCTCGACGATGGCCTCAGCATGATCGGTATTAACCATCTCAGCACGTCCACGATGACCGGGACGCTGTTAACCGCGCAGCAGCCGAACATCACCGATTTAAACAGCATCAACGTCGCGGAACAGCGTATTAAGGGCGACTTGCTTGACGTGTCCCCGAAGACGATGCGATACCTCAGCATCGCCGCGGAAGGCGAAGCGCAAGCCTCGAAGGCCATGATTTTGGACTCGCGTTTGAACTTCACGGACATCAATTACCTCAATGCGGCCCGCATCGAAGGAACGTTGGTCACCCGCGACCAGCCGTTCATCACCTCTGTGGGAGAGCTCCGGTCATTAAGCACGGCGAGCGGCGCAGACGTGCGGTTCAACAGCGGCATATCCGTGTTGTCAGCCAACAGCGACCATCTCGTTTTGAAAACGTCCGCCACGGTGTCCGCCACCGTAGCCGCTGAGCAGGCAATCCAGCGCCACGAGCTCCTTCAAGGGCGCGCGGAAGACGAGCCCGCTGAGTATCATCTTGGCGGACTCGATGCTGATCTTGTGGAACGTGTTCATCATGCGGCCCAGTTCGGTCGCTCGGCCCAAGTCGTCGATGGCGCCCAGCAGGAACAGCCGTTCGAGCGAGTAGCGCACGCTGTCGTCCGGCGGCGGCGTCGGCATCTCCCAGACGGGCAGGCGGTCCAGCGTGGACACGTCGGCGCTGACGACGATGGCGAGCAGGTGCGACGTGAAGTCTTCGGTCTCTATGCGCGGCGGGTCGTCGTCGATCAGGCAGCGCTCGGTCTCCTCGGTGTAAAGCGGGAAGAACACGCCGGGATGCTTGCGGCCCACGCGTCCCTTGCGCTGCGTGGACATGCCGCGCGTGGTGGGCTTGGCGGTCATGATGCTGACGCCGTGCCGTGCGATGAACTCCTTGGAGAAGTGGAAGGCGGAGTCGACGCAGTAGCGCAAGGTGGGCAGCGTGAGCCCGGTTTCGGCCACGTTCGTGGCCACGATCACGCGGCGGAAAGCGAGGTCTCCGCTCGGCAAGAGCAGCTTGGCCGGGTCCGTTTCGAAGACGGTCCGCATATTGGCTGAGACGTTGTGCACGTCCGCGGCGGCGATCTCGACGGGCAGCACCTTTTTGCCAGTCTTCCCTTCGTTCAAGCGCATCAAAGCGGCCACCATGCGCCGGATGGAGGCCTGGGCGGGCATGAAGACGATCACGTCTCGCACGCCGGGCGGGGGCGGGTGCTCCTCCTCGTAGCGCTCGATGTCGGCGATGATGTCGCAGGTTTTTGCGTAAATGTCGGCGACGTCGACGGGCGGGTAGACGACGTCTACGTGTTTGGTCTGGCCGCTGACTTCGAACACCGTGCGCGTGCCGAAGTACCTTGTGAAGCGCGCCACGTTCAGCGTGGCGCTCATGAGGATCAAGAACAGCGCGCCGTTGTTCAGCCGGGACCGAATGAGCCGCTTCATGAGCATGAGGATCAGATCCACGTCCAGCGCGCGGTCGTGGGCCTCGTCGACGATGACGACGCGGAACCGTCGGCAAAACTGGTCTTCGGACGTGTTTTTGAGGAACTGCAGCAAGATGCCGGTCATGCAAAAGAGGATGCCCTTCTCCGCGGGCTTCTTGGCGACCTCCATGGTCTGGTAGCCGAGGTTGCGGTACAGTTCGATGGACAGGCCGTTGCTG